GCAAGGGCGAGTCAATTAAGATCGTTGTGTCGGATAACGCATCAGTTGGAAAGAACTGGCTCAGTAGTATTGTCCTTCCGCAATATATGGTATACCATAATCTATAGATTAGGGCCTTGCTGATATTGTAATCGTCGTGTTTCTCCAAAACAATCATGGCAAGTGGTTGGGAGACATGCTTTTCGGCCAATGGCAGACTCGTCGAAGAAAGAGCACTATGCTGAGCGTTGACGATCTTCTCTCTGAGTTCGAGGCAGTGCGTTGCCGAGGTGGGAAAGTTCACGGATTTGCCGCCAACCCATTAAGCAGCATCGATTTCGCTGCTGTCTTTGCGTCTTTGGGGTATCAGATTAAGCCGCCAAAGGACTTCGGTTTCGCTAAGAGGAACAATCACTTCGCGACAGCATGTCGTCAAAGTGCAAAGCGAAGACTGTCTGATGAGGTGAGAAAACGACTCGGTCCTGCTCTACCAGATGCGGACGGAATGGTCAGGATATCCTCGTCACCGCCATCCCATCGTCCTATAATGGAGCTGTCTTATGAGGAACGTTACGTTGAAGTCCCTGCTGCGTGCCTTTCAGATTCCCGCCGTGCAAGTACTGCACAGAGTCTGCGAAATTTGGAGGGACTTCATCAAGAGCCCATACCAATGGTCGCGGTTGCACTTGACCAGCCGTTTGCATCGAGCAGGAACGGCGTGGTGTCTCAGAGGACGGCCAATCACGTGGGGTTCAACGGCCTTTCATTTCGAAGCGCAAATGGTTATCCCGAGCTGCGATACAGCTCTTCCGACATTGTCCAACGAGCGTGGCCAGAGGGATTGAGACAACCATACAGCATATTAGAATCTGGAGAGCCGGTGTATGGGGTGGAAAGCGTGAAGTGCGCTCCGGAGAACTGGATCCTGCGCCGACCCGTCAGTCACTTTGGGAATGACCGAGATAGGAAAGCGCGTTACCGGCCACGGAACCTTCTCAACGCCAAGTTTGTTCGGGGTCCTAGGGCAAAAGACACCTGGTCTCCGACGAGCACGTATGAAGAGCCCCCATTTCCACTCATTGAACGGACGGCGACTTACCAGGCAATGAAGAATCTTGCATTGAAAAGGGCGGACATATCGGAATCTGTCAACTTGCTCGACTCGCTTCGAGAAGTGTTCGAGTCCATGGGCGACAGGGACGGGGTTTCTGACCCATGGCTGCAACGAAGGGCGACCATTCTAGACAGGGCGGCTGTAAAGGCATACAGAAGTGAATTGTACACCTTCAACATGCGCTGGAGAGGGGAACCGTCCGCACCAAAGACGGTGCGCCAAGTCTTCAAACAGGATGAAGAAATTAGGAGGCGGGTTACGCAAGTACTACAACAGCGTGGTCAGATGTCGTCCAACAAGACATTGAGGACGGATGTCCTTTCGCAGCTATTCGAAGAGTGCTCGAACAAGCCAGGTGGACTAGATCGTTACCTTCATTTGGTAGAGAAGGACCAGAGGTACGCGTGCGAGTTTCGGGCTTTCAAGGAGATCATGAATAGCTTCGATCGCAACAATGGCCTACTACCCCGGATACCGTCTGATAATGTAAACCAATGATACTAGCTCGTTTATTACTGTTTTATAGCCTAGGCAACGTAGTCTGTTCTGTCCCGATGCTCCTTGCGCCACCAAATGAAGAAAGTTCAACTGAAAACAGAACTCAACCTCATGCAAAACGTCCCTTTCGACCCCTTCGCTGCCATACTTGATGAGACTGCCTAATTTACTCCACGAGTCGGTGTACCCTCCCTCGCTAGCTATCTGGTATACTCAACCGCTCTCGGACGATTCGGCTTGAAGTCTTCTCTCCGATGTCGCATGAGATCCGCAAATATTTTTGCAGCACGCGCATCACCGGCATCAGCAGCTCGTTGAAACAATTCCACTGCTCGTGAAGTGCCCTGTTCTACACTTTCATCCTCCAGTGTAAAAGCAAGCCAGGTCGGCAAGCAAGCGAGGTTCCCAACTGAGTCTGGTTGACCCAGTTCAATCGCTCTTTCATATAGCTCTAATGCTCGTGCCGGGTTAAGGTCGATGCCCTCAACCCCGTCCGTGAGTAGACAAGCATAAAGATTCATAGCTACTACATCATCCCCTCCATCGATAGCACGCTCAAAAGCTTGACAAATCTGGCAGGACACCTTTGGCTCCAGTCCTCAAAATAAACCCGAGCTCATTCATTGCATTCGCATTTCCCGCTTCAGCAGTCTTTTCGAACAATTGCACAGCTTTTGGGATGTCCTTCTCTAAACCTTCGGTTCCGTTGTAAAGAAAGTAAGCAAAAGACGTCATTGCATTCACGTTCCCTTCGCCAACAGCGTAATCTTATATCTCCACTGCCTGTACAGTATCGCGCCCTATGCCTTCCTCCCGTGTCACAGCAAGTAGACGTACCACCTTGCTATCTCCAAAGCCCCCCCAAAATCGGTCTTTCAAACAGCCGTCTCGCCCTCGGACCATGGCTCCATGAGGCTCTCGGAATCAGATTTAATTGCGTTGACATCTTGTTACTGCAAGTATCAGACGAAAGTCGGAGAACATGAGGAAACGATTGACTCGTTTCTTAGCGACGATGACAGACGCAGACTTATCTTTGCGTTCCGAAAGCATTGTGCTGGACGGATATCAACCAAAATGAAGTTCACTTTGGCCGTAAATCGCAACGCGTCACGTGAGGGTGATATAGACAATGCCATGCAAAATGGATCAGACGGAGATAGGCAGGGACTGCAGGGAAATCAAACTCAAATCTCCCCGATGTCGTCCTAAGTTCGATAAATGAGCAAGTTAGAAGAATGCTCGCGTTGAAGATCAGGTGCCATGGATCAAGCAATTGCCGAGATATCAACTGATTGTTTCATAGACAAGCCAGAATGCGACGTCGTGCGTGGCGGGCGCAGCACCGATAGCACGATGGAGCACACCACGGACACAGACACCAGCTGCAGCTCCAGCGCCGGCGCGGCGCCGTGCGCCGTTGACGACGCCGCGGGCAGCACCGGCGGCATTGCGCGGGGGGAGGGGGGTGAGGCGGAGGGAGGGGCGAGGGGGAGAGGTGAGGCGGAGGGAGGGGCGAGGGGGAGAGGTGGGGCGGAGGGAGTGGCGAGGGGGAGAGGTGGTGTGTATGGAGGGCGGGCCGCACCCCCGCCCGCCAACGCCAGAGGGGGCGGGAGGGATTCCTCTCTTTTAGATTACTTTCTTTTACAGGAAGAAACTAGATTGGACTTTCGTTGCTTCTCGGAAACGTGTCGAGAAACTCCTTGGGTGAGAAGGCTCAGCAGCTGAGGCACTGTCTTCGAGGTCACGATTGCAGTCCTTTGGGAAGTTGTGACACGCGGGCAAACGTGGGGCTCTGGAGCTCATCGGGTGTGTTGAGATGACATCATCTCTTTGATACATCTGTCCGGTTACAGTGCCAGTATGTTTGCGCTCGCCGTGATGCAGGTCAAGGGGTGCTTTCCGGTCGCCGTCGATTTGTCACTTTTCTCTCTCTCTCCCTCATCTTATTTACACAAGAGACAGATCTCTGCTATTATGTACATCTCGCCGTATGCAGCATATTCCTCCTTCGTCGTCGTGTCCGCGTCCTATCCGAAGAACGCTTTTCGCAATTTGGACCACACAATCTTACCGTGGCCGAAAGGCTACCCGGTGCCCCCTCGAGAGGGCTCGGTAGTACCGTACCTCCGAGCGCCGCCGCCCCCGAACGTTGGCGTCCGACTTGTGCC